ACACTCTCGTGCCGTGGCGCCCGAACAGGGACTCGAACCCGTCCTCTCTCCCTTTCTCACTCCTTCCCCCTAATATAATTGCATAGAAGCGTCTTTGAGTTGCATTAATTTGTTTTATTTTTTCTTCGACATTTATTACTGAATTTTACTTATGAATTTACAATATTTTCCCTCATGCTTTAATGGCCTGAATTTGGGCCACGACTAAGTCGAATTTTTCTTTCATTAATTTTTAAATTCGGGCAAGTTGCGGTTAACCACCCCTCAGTGCGAAGTGGTAAATACGCTTAAATCAGATTTCGAGTCGCCCTTTTCCTTATTCGGATCATTTTATGGCCCTTTGAGGGGTTTTTTTGTTTTATGTACTCTTTTCTTTGTATTAATCGTACCAGTCACTGTGTGTACTTCATAAAGGAGAAATGAATGTTTGTCTTGTACCCAAAACCGGCCTAAAATAATATTTTATGGAGAACACTTTGGTGACCGTCACTTAACATGTGTGCCCAATTTACAGTTGTCCCATTCAACAACACAACTATCTCCGTTTTTTTAACTCGGTGCCAGCATCGTCATCATATTCTCTTTCTCCTTCTATCGTGTATGTAGCTGTGAGTGTATAGATTAAGACCTCTTTTGGTAATTTTCTTTTGATATGTCATTTTCATACCAGCTGATTGCTAAAAGTCTCCATTTCTTGGTTTAAGAAAACTGCTTTGATTACTTATCTATTGTTAATATTCGACATAGTTAATTCTACTCATGTACTTTTATCTATTCGGGCAAAATAAAGCCTGATGAGATTTCCTCTCATCAACGAACTCAGGGTTAAGGTCAAGTAAAAGTACTTTACTCGAGCAGTTCTCAAACGTGCTATAAAACATCCACTTTGGTTAGTTTTTAAAGTGAAGGCGATTTGTTTACCACGAGAACGGACTTATTTAAAATGAATAATAGTGTTTCACTTACACACCAGTATAATAATTTGCTAAATCTGGTTTTGAGAGCAAGAATGTGGAGAATGGAATTTAAATTCAAACGCTTTTAACTCTTACCTGTCCCGACTGCGTCACCACGGTTATTAAATTTGGACGACGGGAAAGGCGGAATCAGTGAAAATGTCCGGAGAGCAGTGTGGAAAACGGGGGTCGGGTTGGGGTGAGGGGTGGGGGGAGGGTGAACCGACACTCGAATGTACTTTTGCCTTTCTGCTTTTAATCATAATCTCATTTGGGATAAGAATTTAATATTATCCAAACTGGGGACCTTATGTCCCTTGATTGTGCTGCGTGTGCACCTTGAACTTTGCCTTTAACTACCCTCTTTTGCTTTGGTTCCTAGATGTTTTGATGATCCATTTATTCTGGTTAATTACTGTGATTATGTCTAGGCTAGGCTGACCTTTTCACTATGCAATGCACAGTCTTCATATGACTGCCTCTCTACATTAATACGTCCTCCCATTTAATCTTTCCTGATGATATTATATATAGACATATACCTGTCATAATTGGATGTCATTTTCAAGATCAAATATTGACTGGGATAGGTTGTTGAAGATCCAGTAATCTGGGCTAATTTAAGATGAAAATCGGATCACAATAACCTGTAACAATTTTTCTGATTATAAACAGTTGTAAATGTTGTTTCTCTTTTCTCCAACTTAAAGACGTCTTCTCGTTTAAAGTCATTTTTCCCCAAAACTATACAGAGTTTGTTAATTGTCTTGTATTGATTACTAATTAAATATGCTTGCTCTCTCCAAATTTCTTCTTTACTCTTATCTGTGTGTGCTAGTCATATTCACCTCTGATTTCCAAGTAAGGCATGGCCTTTGCTTCACACCTTGCGCCTTTTCCCCCTAATTAGGAGGAGGAGGAGGAGGAGATAAGGCCCCTTTCCCCTCTTCGACATTTTTTATGCCCTCTCTCATCCACTTTCTCTCCCTTCCGATAATTTCTCCCACTTCCATTCACGGAAATTCTGCGCCATGTCTAATGGTAGTTGAATGAAGACGGAGAGATTTGTGTTAATGGACAAGAAGTTGTAGGTATGCAACCGGGAAGTAGTTTTTTCTAACACACAATTTACCGCATTTATTGACATTGATATTCACTCTTTCTTACTGGCTATGTAAGACTATATGTGCAACTGTGATGAAAAGACAATAATATTGGTTGTAACGCTGTAGGGAAAATAAAAGACTTGTGTCTTCTTCCTGGTGACTCCTAGAGTTTCCTCATTTTTGTATCTCATTACTCGTGTATTTTTACCTGTTAAAATGCAATTTTCTTGGTGTACTTGATTGCCATCAACTGACAACTGTGGCCACCTTCCCCTGGTGGCCATACTGAATTTTGCACTAGGGAGTTGTTGCAGAAGGATTGGCTTTGATAATGATGACAGCGAAGGCGAAAATTTCGACCACTGTGTTCTTTATTTATGGACACGCTGAACTGCTAGAACACACGAGTACATCAACACGAAATTCAATGCAAACCAGCCAGTGATGAGAGGCAACTCTGCCTCATTAAATTCTAAATCAGCTATTGATTAGATGAACTGTGTATCTATAGATAAGTAGGAATATGTGCTGTTGCTTCTAATCGCTTTCTCAGCGTTAGATGAAAGTTTCCAAACATTAGGAGTCCTGATTTATTTCTAACTTGCTTTTCTACATATCAAGTTCACAGTCTTTGAAGTGCTATTTGTTGATGATTGATTGATTGTCTCTCGTTTCTATTGAAACAGTTAAAAACCAACCCCACCGGCCCCACTAGCCCTCTGAAAATCACCGAAGGCTGTTGTAGAAGAGGGCTTACTTTAATCCACCACTCCCTCCTTCTTATCTCCCTTTTGTTTTAAGGAGGTGGTCGTCTGTACCTCTTTCGTTTGCCGACCCCAGCATCTATTGTTGTTCTTTCTTTGTTCCTAAGTTTTCTCACTTCCTATAGTTGATTTTTTTCATCCACTTTCCCATTAAAGCATAATTTTATCTTTCACTTCCATTCTTTAAAATAATACGTGCTAATATTACGAGCTTTTTTGAAATATCAGGAAGAGTAAATTTTAGCATCTCTGCAAAATGTATTTGACAGTTCAAATTGTTTGTTCTTCACAGTTGATGCACCGAAATGGTTGGAGCGAACTATATTCAATCCTACGACTAGTTCAATTACCAGGGAAAAATTTGGAATTCAGGTATCCTTTGCTCTGCACTTGGAAAACTGCCGATGGCCATTGGAAACGTGTTTCCCCACCCTATGATGCACATTCAATCCATAAATGTTTAGTCCACTTTCAACATGTAATGAAAACACCTCTGGGAGCTTTAAACTCTCGAATTGTTACGCTGTCTGCCTTTGACGTCATTCTGAGAAGTGATTGCAAAACTGTGTTTTGTAGTTTGATTATCATTCTATCAGTTTAATTAGGAAATCGGTTTTCTACAATTACACTACTGGCTTATACAAGTTTTGTCGATTCCTCTCATGACATTTCAATCACCATTTTTGTTCATATATTCGATATAATTCATTAAAACAAACTTGGTTTTTTGGTGAAATAATGTTTACAAAAGCATTCATGACAGTGGTTTGGGTGGGAGAGTTTTGATCTCTTATCACCGTTCAATGGGTGAGTATATTCCAGGTGTTGGTGGCTGAGGCTCAAGCTCCTCACCGTTCCATGCTTCCTCATTTTCCAAACCTGTTCTGTCCGATATAAAAGTTGCTCTCTTTAAAAGATGAGTTACTTTTGGATGTAGCCCAGTAGATTGTTAATAATTCAACTGGGATATTAGGTTGAATAAATAGATGCAGTCCCGAAACACGATTCTTTTTTACTTTTTTAATTTACTTTTCTGTCAAGTTTTAATTAGGTAGGGAATTTAAAAGCTGAAATCACTTAGTTTCTGAATGATTAAATTTCCTTTCCATTTTTGAATTTGGAGGTAGTTATTCAATAGACGGAAATGCCTATTTTATAAAATTAGGCGGATGCACAATTATAATGGTGTCAGTAGTCAGGCTTTATCACGCACAATGTTACACATTGCCAACTCCCTGTCCAGATTTTAGGTGAGTGTTTTGATGGTTGAAGTGAATGGGGTTCGGTCCAAGCGTGTCCTCAAGCTTATTAAAAATGTTGATTTGGATTATTAATGGATAAAGTTAATACGATTCATTGCTATTGCTTGTCACGACTCAATTATATTACATTTCAGTTTATCGTGTTAGTTTAGACAAAGGGACGAAATGTGCGTAATGGTGGAGAGAAGTCAATCACAGTCATGTCACTGACGACTCTCCCTGAGAACTATATGCATCTCCTTCTCTCATAACACTTTAGACTTATCAGCTGCCTGTGATGGGGACATGCATCGTGTTGTACTAGATTACAATTATAATTTGGCTGAACAAATCATTTATATTCGGTAACATATGCACAACATATTGAAGTTCATAGTTTTGCAGTTCATTGAATATAAGCATTGGTTTACAGCCTTACTGAGAATTTACCATTATCTTATCAGAAATGATTTCTTTCGTACAGCGATTGGCAATATTGCAAAGATCAAACACATTCGCATAGCAAAGATGGTGAAAATGACATCTAGTATTCTGGCATTTGTTTCAAATTTTTGACCGTTTGAGAACCTGTGGCTTTGCGTTTTGTGCCACCCCCCCTTCCTGTCTTTTTAATGATCCTTCACTCTATATGTGAACTCGAATGGCTGGTTAAAAAGACAGGA